TTTTTAAATGTCAGCAACGCAGTTAGAATTTTTACAGGATATTGGGCCACAGCTTGTCCAGGGGCCACCAGTATGCAACCCTTATTCAAACAGTAATTCCTCCTCTGGGACTGAGCTGAGGAGTGAGATGTGCTGTTCCCAGGCACCTGGTTCTTTGTGCATTGCAGGAGGTGAGCAGGGAGTTTGCTGTGGGGATGACAGCGGCCCTGGCAGGGGAGCCCAACTAGGAGGCCAGCAGCTCAGATCACAGAGTAACAGTGTTGCACAAAGTTCTTGAAGTTTCAGAATATGGTGTCTCCATCTTCCTGTGTAAGAAACTGTCCTCTCCATGACAACTGGATGATTTTGAAGACATACCAATGGTTTCCCAACATCACCAGGAAAGCATGTTCAAAATGAACATTCCAGGGGTCAGGTTTTCTTCAGGATCCTGGTTCATTCGTTCTGGATGGGGGCCCAGGAATCTGCATTTCACAATCAAAGCCCAGGGGTTTAGATAGTAAGAAACCCTGAAAATTATGAGACAGGCTTGGTCGGATGACTTTGGGTTTAACCTCTCTGAGACTCAGTTTCTAACTCTGTAAAATGGGGATAATATCATTTCTCCTCCTAGCCTTATGCAAGGCGTTCAAAGAGAAGGAGCAATTATTATTGTTCCATAGGTCAAGCGACTGATTAGGAGGGCATATTCTTCCCCCGCAAGTGAGCTAGGAATTGGATTTGAACCCCCGGCCCGCCCAGGATTCGAACTCGTCAAGTGCCTCGCGCCTCCTTGACGTCACCAAGTCACCTCTGAATATCGGCTTGTCGCCCCGCCGCGGGGTCCACCACACAGCACCGATTGTACGTACTATACATGTTAGCATAGCCCCGCCCCCCGCGCGCTCTCCCCTTACGGGTGGCCAGCAGCGGTGCCACTCAGCGCTCCTCCTCCCGGCCCCTCCCGGGCCCCGCGCCCCGCCCCCTCTCCTAGGCGCAGCCTACCCCGCTGCCTACTCTGAGCCCCGCCCCCCAGCCCAAGCTCCAGCCGCAGGGGCTCACGATTGGCTAGGCCGGCCGACGGGGCCCGCCCCCCGCGCCGCTGGCCTCGCCCCCGAGGAGGGGAGCGAGAGCTCGCGCGCCCCACGGTGGGTTCGGCTGCGCGGCGGGGCTGAGGCGGCCGTGGTGGCCCGAGCGCAGGTAAGGGCGCGTGCGGCCGCGATTCAGGCCGAGATCCGCTGCCCCCGACTCGGGCACCGGGGGTCCAGGGTGCAGGCCGGGGAGGAGGGTAGGCCTGCGTGGCTCGGGGCTGGAGGGTCCTGGAACGGCTCGGGTTTGGCTGCAGGCGGAGTTGGGGGTCGGGGTCTGTGAGGAGAGGGCGGCGGCCAGGGGTCCGGAATGGGCTTGGGGGTCGGGATCCGCTGAGGAGGGGCCGGAGATCCGGACTGGAGTTGAGGGTCAAGGTCTGTGAGGAGCGGCTGGGGCCGGGGATCCAGGTTAGAGTTGGGGGTGGGGGTCTGTGAGGAGGAACTGAAGCTGGGAATCCGGACTGGAGTGGGGGGTCGGGGTCTGTGAAGGGAGGGGCTGGGCCGGGGGGTTGGGTTGGAGTTGGAGGCCGGAGCTGGGGATTGGGGGTCGAGGTTAGTTGGGGAGCCAACTGCGGACGGAGTTGGGGGTCAGAGTCCGCTGAGGAGGAGGGGGCTGAGGCTGGGAATCCGGACTGGAGTTGGGGGCCGGGGTCCACTGAAGGAGGAGTGGGGATCCAGACTGGAGGTGGGAGTCAGGGTCTGTTGTGGAGGTTGGGCAGGGGATCCCGGCTGGAGGTGGGGGCTGGCACTGGAGTTGGGGATGGGGGCCTGACCTGGGGCTGGAGGTTAGCTGGGGAGGCGACTGCGATGGAGTTGGGGGTCCTGCCGGCTGGGGAGGGTGATTGAGGAACTCGGGGTCAGAGTGCGCTGGCACAGGGCCTGAAAGCAGAGTTTGGGGAGAGCTGGGGGAGGCAGGTGGGGGTCAGGCCCCCTTTCAGAAGGCTCTCAGGGGCTATTGGGAGAAATGGAGTTAGGAGTAGGAGGGTGATGAGATAGGAGTGGGGGGCGGAGGAAGGTGGGATGGAGGCTGGTAGACCCCCCCACTCACACAGGTGTTTTGCGGGAAGGTGACTTCAGGAGGAAATGGGGGCTCGGTTAGAAGTCAGTTATGAGGATTGTGGCGGGGAATCAGCCCCCACTTCTGCTGATAATTGAGTATAGAAGGGGTCCTGAGGGAGAAACCCGTGGGCAACGCAGAGAGCTGGAGGAGACGGGTGTTGGACATACTTCACGAGGTCTGTTTCTGGGACGTCAGGTGCAAAGGGGAAAGTCTTGGGAAGCTGAGAAAGGCTCGTGTGGGTGACTGAATTTTTCAGGAATTTTTGGGCTCAGGAGCGAAGAATCAGAGTGGGAGTTTTGGGGACAAGGATGTTGAGGGACGTGGGAGGCACTTTATTTTTCCCGGGGAGCGGAGGTTGCTGGGGCTGAAAGGTGGGCGAGAGAAGACAGATGTGATGAGCTGCAGCTGAGAGCCTCCACTGTTGCTAGGAGTCAGGGAGGCCAAGGCCAAGTTCGCAAACTTGTTCAGTTATGGGCTGAAGTCTTGCACAGACTGAGAGTGTGGTGGGCCTCGGAAGGTGGGCCTGCATTCCAACCTCAGCTCTTACTGCCTGCTTGGCTGTGCTGCCTCTGGGGGTTAGTCTACTCCTCTGTAAAATGGGAATAATAAAACAGGAGCAGGTCACTCCCAGGATTGCTGCCAGGGTCAAATGAGGGGATGTGTGCACCTAGCCAGCTCCTGGCACATGCCGAGGGTACGTGCACGTTGATAATAATGTTCTAAATTAAGTTTTTTAGGGGGGAGGAAGGTGGGTGGGTACAATTGCTGGTTGTCAGGGAGGGGAGGGGAGGAGTCACTTAGAGCTCGACATCAGCCCCTCAGTCTTGGGGTGCACATGAGAATCCCCTGTGGGATTTTTAAAAAGAATCTGCAATTTTTCCCTTCATATTATAAAAAATGAGGGAAAGACAACAACAAAAAATAGAGGAATCTCCCAGGATCTGCCCAGATTCTCTTTGTCAAGGAACAAGTACGTGTATTTAAGAGAAATCTTCCTGGGTCGTTCTGATTTAGGTGTACCCCAAAGGAGCCATTTGGATGTGTGCCCTGAAGGGGACCATTGAGCCACAATGATACACTCTTAAAACATATGAGCTTTACAACTTGAGTTCACTTGGTGGACCAGGTCTTCCTCCTGGGCACTGCTGACAGACCTTGTACTGCTGGCCTGGGGGTCCGGGTCACCCTATGGGAGGCTGTCCTGGGCACCGTGGAGTGTGGAGCTGCATCCCTGGCCCCTATCCACTGGATGCTGGGAGCACCCCCATTTGTGAAGACTACAGATGTCCCCAGACAGTGCCGCCTTTCCCCAGGGGCCAGAATCACCCGCTGGTGGAGATCTCCTCTTCCAGACAAAGCTAAGTTATTTTCTGCTTGAAGGGTCACATCTCTTAACAGACACACGCTACTGATATAAAGTAAATAAACAATGAGGACCTACTGTACAGCACAGAGAACTATATTCAATTTCTTTTAGTGAGCTATAATGGAAAAGAATCAGAAAAAAAATATATGTATGTGTATGTATAACTGAGTCGCTTTGCTGTACACCTGAAACTAACATTGTAAATTAACTACACTTCAATAAGAAATAAAAATTAAAAAAAATCACATCTCGCCTATGATCCTTAGGAAGTACAGCTATTCAGATTTGAGTTGGTTATAAGTCATCTCGTGTTCTCACTTCGAGAGGGGAAAAAAAGAATTCACACTGCTTTTAGAATTTTAGAAATGCTGACTTCTTTCTAGCTGGGTCTTTTGTGTGGCTTTTGAACCCTTATACTGAGTTTGAATACGGGAGTGACTGATCGGTGGCAGGCACAGAAGGATGCCTGCATCTGAGATTGTTTCCCTGGTTGTAACCTAGTGCACGAGGCTTCTGTAGAAGCTTGAGGTCTTCGGGTGATTCTTGGCCTCCTAGAAAACACCTGTGACAGATGTGACAGAAGCCGTGGACCCCTGTTCTTGTCTGCGTTTCCTGAAGCCCGGGGCCCTATGGTGTGAAGAGGGACGCAGCTGAATGTGAATTACCCCAGCACAGAGGGTTCAGCTTGGTGCTTCCTGAATAGGGCATTTTTTGGAAAACCCGGTAGCAGTGTAACAAGTACCTTCTTCTATCCAAGGTGTTACTGCGGGGTTTCTCATTTGCATCTGGAAACAAACAATTGTCTTTAAGATCGTATTTCCTAGGACATTTGTGTTCCTGAAGCTCATCTGTCATTTCTTACGGGAAAGTGTGGTTGGGCCTGGCCTCCATGACTATGGAGCTTTCCAGAGCTTTCTAGAGAGGACAGTTCCCTAGGACAGTTGTGTGATTGCTGGGTGTTGACACAGACTTCTCTGAGCTGCGTCTTCACTGAGCAGAGCAGACCGAGATTGATTGCCCAGGCTGCGTCTTTGTTCTGGGAAGGCTTGTCTCCGTGAAGTCTCATGTCCTTGACCACGTCAGGGTTTGCGACATTCAGTGTTCATTTTGACAGCTCTGGACTGCATGTTTCCCCGCTTCTCTCGGGCTGCCCTTTGGTATGGCCTCTCGCTTTCTCTTAAGGGTCTGGAGAGAAGTGTTTGCTACACATCACCCGGAAGACCTCAGAGACCAGACCGGGCCACTGAAACAGTGGGACGACTTGGCCTGAGCACTCGGGTCCACTCTCCTCCTCATCCACCCTGTGCCTTGTATCTTGTCCTGCCCGTTCTTGGGCAGGGGGGCTTGTAGGCAGCTCTGAGACTCTTCCAGAAATAGATCTGGGTCGCATTGAGAACCTTGCAAAGGGGAAAAGTCTGACTGTTCTTTATTTTTTAAATTGAGGTACAATTGCCATATCATAAAACTCCTCTATTTTGAGCACACAGTTCAGTTTTTTGTAAGTTTATCAAGTTGTGTAACCATCTCCATAAACCCGTCTCAGAACCTTCCATCACCCCAGTAAGATCCTTGATCCCCATTCACAGTCACTCTCCCACCCTCTCCTCAGCCCCTGACAACCAGGAGCCCTCTCTCTATGTCTATGGACTGGCCTCTTCTGGACATTTCACATCCATGGACTCACACGCTGTGTGTCCTTCTGTGTCTGCTTCTCTCACTGAGCACCGTGTTTTCAGGGTCCGTCCACGTGGGAGCGGGTGTCAGGGCATCTCTCCTGTTCGTGGCTGAGTGATGCTCCCGAGGGTGGAGGGACCACGTGTGTTTATCCACTCACCCGTCACTGGGCATCTGGGTTTTGGCGGTGAAGAATCAGGCTGCTGTGGAATGGCTTTTTTCCTGGGCATTTGACAGCCCACTGAACTGAAGATCAGGAAGGTCGGGTGTCAGCCCTCCGGCTCTACCTCTCTCTCCTGCCACGCGTCTTCCCCCCTTGAGTTAAATGCTTCACCTTCTTGTGCTCAGAGCATCCCTGCTGGCTGATCAGCCTTCACTCTCTCTGGCTCCAGTAGGTCGACTGGAATCCTCTCTACAGCTAAGATCAGTTTGTCATTTCCGTGCCACCTTCGCCATCTTGCCACTCTCTTGACAAAATAAAAATTGCTCCCTCGGCCCTGGTGGCACCGGGACTTGCCGCCCCCAACCTTGGCGTGTCCTTCACTTTCACTCCAGTAAGGGCCCCTCCCGCTCCTCCCTGCTGCCCGCCCAGCACAGACCCCCAGCTTTCCTGGATGGTGCAGTTGCTGTCTCCTTTGTCTGAAACCTTCCTTCCTTCCTTCCTCTCCCCAACAAAGGCTGGTTGTGTGCCTATTTTAAGCCTCAGACCGGGTGCCAGGCGCCGGGAACGCCATGTGAATGAGACGCTTGTATGCGAGCAAGGGGCAATGGGGAGATTGGGGGGCCCCGGGGCCATCCTGTCCCTGGCTCAGACCTCTGAGTCGGGGTTCTCGGGGGTGGCGGAGATGGGGGCCCAGGCCTGTGTTCCGAGAGCCCCACAGGTGCCACAACAGTAAGACATCTTCCAGGAGGTCTCAGAGGGGTGGGGATAAGTCCTCAGGGGAAGAGGCCAGAGAGCAGGATTGCCCCGAGGAATTTGCCAGGGGACAGGTCAAGGGGGTGCGCAGAGGTGGGGTGGGTTGTTCCTTGACATCTAGGGCAGGTCCCCCGCTCCCCGCATCACCATGGACACTAGGGCAGGTCATTCTCTGTGCAGGCCGCCCCGGGCACCGGGTGGAGAGCAGCCTCCCCGCCCCCCCCCACTCTTGTTGCCAGCTTGCGGCACCGAAGGAGAGAAACTGATGTGAAGAAATTGCTGCTTTCTTGGGAATTTCTGAAAGTTAACCACTTGGAGATGATAAAGTACAAAAGATAACCCCTCTCCAGTGTGTGTCAGTCGACAGTTTGCTTTTCCTGACCGTAACTGTGGATGTGCGTGTATGTCCACGTGAGCTCTCCGCCTGGGCGAGGGGCCAGGTGGATCTGGGGTGCAGATGAATTTGAAACCCGCCCGCCAGCTCTGCATCATGACAGTTACTGCTTGTCACATCTTTTGCCCTTTGTTGTCCCATCTTTTGCCCTTTGTTGTCCCGGCCCTGACCCCTGCTCTGCCTCCTCAAGAACCTCCTTAATGTGGTGGACAAAAAAGCTCAGGGCAATCAAAGAAGGAAAGGATCCAGCCAAGTCCATGCAGAGCCTGTGCCAGGACTGTCGGTGAGTCCAGCCGCAGCCCCACTAGCCTTGTTCTTGCCTAACTGCCTGCCTGACTTCCTGGGGCCCCCATAACACAGCACTGCAGACTGGGTGGCTTTTAGACACAGGAATCTGTCTTCTCCCGGCCCTGGAGGCCAGAAGTCTGAAACCGAGGTGTGGGCCGAGCTTCACTCCCCTCTCCGGGCTCCAGGGCAGGGTCCTTCCTGCCTCTCTCCACTTCTGGAAGGTGGAGGTTTCCAGCAATCCTTGGTGCCCCTTGGCTTATATAGACACATCACTTCAGTCTCTGCCTCTGTTGTCACGTGGCCGTTACCCTGTGTGCCCATCAAAGCAAAGCCGGGGCTGGACGGTAGTTAGAATGGTAAAACCAGACTTTACTCAGGAACTAATGCAACAGGGAAAAGAAACTTCCACGTAGAATGGGGCTCAACCCTGGTTCCAGCGTGGATAAGTGGGGGTCAGTGGAGGGAAAGTTGCTGAGAGGAAATTTAAGGGGGATTCTGGCTAAACAGACCTCAGTGGACTCCTGGTGCGCGCAGGCTGGCCATCAGACATCCCTGGGGGCAGGATCGGGAGTGGTCAGACACACAGGATAGGGGGGTCTCGATCAACCAACTTAGCAGGCTTGCTAAAATGGGACAGTGCAGAGGTGAGCACGGAAACCCAAAAGTCAAGGCCCTCCTGGAAAGTTCAAGGTAACCTGAGTCTCATCTGGCCACGGAGAGAATCTGTCATGTCTCATGTGTGTACAGGACACCCGTCGTTGGACCAGGACCACCCGACTCCAGCGTGACCTCGCTTTAACTCAGTGACACATGCAAAGGCGCCATTTCCGAGTCAGGTCCCATCCCCAGGTCCCAAGGAGGTCTCTTAGGGGAGGGAGACACACTACCTCAAAAAGGGTCACCCTCGTCGGGTGACAGTCAACTTTTCTGGGGCTTCATGATCCTAGTTGCCAGATGGCCCTTCCCCTTTCCCCTGTGCCCTCTTTCTCCACACCAGAAAAGGAAAAATTTGCACCATCTCATAGGAAATAGGGAACTCGGCCTGACTCGGCCCCTGGGAGGAAGTGGGAGTTTTCAAGTCCACGGGGACAGGGACGTGGAGGAGGTCCCAGGTGACCCCGCAGCCCCGGAGAAGCTCTTGATTATTTGAGACTGGGCAGGAACACCGCCTCGGCCACCTTCCAGGTTGTGAGGATCGAACAAGCCACCTCCAGAAGGAGGCCGTGGGAATTCTAGAGCTCCATAAACATGAAGTGTTCTTGTTAGTAACGCGATGGGTTTGACCAAGGCAGGGCCTCTGCTCACTGCGCTGTGGACTCTTGGGGCAGGTCATTCTCTTGCGGTGGGGGGAGGCGTCCTGGGCACTGTGGAGTGTGGTGCAGCCTCCCTGGATCCCACCCAATAGAAACAGGATTGGAGCCTCAGGTGTAGTCTTATTTTTTTATTTTTTATTTTCAAAAAAATTTTGGTGAAGTGTAGTTGATATACAATGTTAGTTTCAGGTGTACGGCAAAGTGATTCAGTTACATATATACATACATATGTATTTTTTCTTTTCAGATTCTTTTCCATTATAGGTTATTACAAGAAATTGAATATAGTTCCCTGTGCTATACAGTAGTAGGTCTTTGCTGTTTGTTTATTTTATATACAGTAACGTATGCGTCTGTTAATCCCCAACCCCTAATTTATCCTTCCCTTCCCTTTCCCCTTTGGTAGCCAGTTTGTTTTCTATGTCCATGAGTCTGTTTTTGGTTTATAAATAGAATCTGTATCATTTTTTGGGTAGATTCCACATATAAGTGATATCATATATTTGTCTTTCTCTGACTTACTTCACTTAGTATGATAATCTCTAGGTCCATCCATGTTGCTGCAGATGGCATTATTTCATTCTTTTTTATGGCTGAGTAGTATTTCATTGTATAAATATACCACATTTTCTTTACCCAGTCATCTGTCGATGGACATTAGGCTGTCTCCATGTCTTGGCTGTTGTAAATAGTGCTGCTGTGAACATTGGGGTGTATGTGTCTTTTCAAATCAGAGTTTTCTCCGGACGTATGCCCAGGAGTGGAACTGCTGGATCATAGGATAAGTCTATTTTTAGTTTTTTAAGGAACCTCCTTACTGTTTTCTGTAATGGCTGCACCAATTTACATTCTCACCAGCAGTGCAGGAGGGCTCCCTTTTCTCCACAGCCTCTCCAGCATTTGTCATTTGTGAAATTTTTAGTGATGGCCATTCTGATTGGTGTGAGGTGGTACTTCATTGTAGTTGTGATTTGCTTTTCTCTGATAATTAGTGATGTTGAGCATCTTTTCACGTGCTTTGGGGGCATCTGGATGCCTCAGGAGGAATTCTAAATGAGTAGCTGCAGTCCAAACAGTAAAACAGGTGAAACTAATTTCATTGGTCTATTTTATGCAACCTGATACATCCCAAACATTACCCTTTCATCACATAATCACCCTGAAGAAGGGATGAATGAGCTAGTTTCCATTGCTTCTTTTGTTCTGTCTCCAGAATCTGATGTGTATTGTGCCCTCACAGACTTTCACATCTTAGAATGAACCCCATTTCACGCGCTCAGTGCCACCCGTGGCCAGTGGCCGCCACACTGGACATGGCAGGTCTAGGACGTGAACGAGAGGAATTTTAGGAGAAGATAAAACTTCTGAAGGCCTGTGAGTGCAGCTTCGCATTTGGACACCTTGAGGGTCACCTTTAGAGCTACTGAAGTCTCTGCTGGTTGAAAACGCAGATTGGGAATCAGAGCTTCTCGGAAAGTCCGTTCCAGGAGGACCCTGAGATGGTCCAGTTCAGTGGTGCTGTGATTTATGGGCCAAATCCAGGCTCGTAATCTTTTTTATATGGCCCCTGAGATAAAAAGGGTTTTTACGTTTTTTAAATGGTTGAAAAAAAATCAAGTGAAGCATAATATGTCGTGTCACCTGAAAATCCTGGAGGGTTCACCTTTCAGTGTCCAGAAACAAAGTCTTCTGGCACAGACCCACGTGCATCCATTCGCATGTTGCCTGTGGTGGCTCCCCCACTGCATTCGAAACTGTGCGGCTCGCAAAGCAGGAAGTACTGATTCTCTGGCCCCTAGAAGAAAAAGTCGGTCAACACACCCGTCCAGCTTTTGTGATTTACAGATGCGGAGACTGAGGCCCAGAGGTTTCACGGTGTCATGGCAAAGCTAGGACTTGAACTTGGGGTTTCATAGCTTTTATGGCTTAAGCACCAGTTTTGGAAGAACAAACAGCACTTGCCTGCCGAGGGGCTGCTCGACGCGGCCTGGTTGGGGACTCCGCAGCCTTCTGGCTGAGCAGGGGTTAACAATCTCGGAACAAATGTGTGGAATGATTTTATTTCCCACAGCGTTGTGCCGTGCTGAGACAGGTCATTTCCTTTCCTTAGTGTCACGAGATGTAAGGGACACGCATCTTAGAACAGGCTCTTAGAATTGACGGACTGTGGTATCTGATAGCTCAAAATAAGTCACATTTGAAAATATTAGTTATGTTTATTACAATGTTACTTAAAGACATTCAAAGGGGAAACTATGTATGAATGTCTGTGCTCATAGCTTTTAAAAAATAAACCAGAAAAAGCAGGTAAAAATGAAATAGTAGCCCGGTGAAGTAATGGTCATCTGAATGCACATTCAGACAGACCCTTTTAATGCCAGGCAATGGGGCTTTTTAAGAGTGATGTTCCAGGGTCGCAGTTTGCCAGGTGGAGCGTCCCAGAGCAAGGTGGCAAGAGGTGGGTTGCTAACGCCCCCTTTCCTTGGCTGGGCGCCCAGGCCAGGTCTCTTCCTTCAACTCCCCCTGAACTTACAAGCGCCTTTGTCTTTAGGAGGAGAAACTGTCAAAGTAGTTCTTCAAGGCTGATATTCGAGACAGCAGAGAGAAATGGATTTTCTTTTCCAAATTGCTACTTAATGAAATACAGAGTTTTTTCTGACTTGAATTTTCGATAGTTGGCAGCGGGAGGTGATGGGAGGAAGAGGAGCTGGGTGGGCTCTGTGGATGCGCTGGGCATTTTTTTTATTGTCTGAAAAAATAGGCTGGCTCCTCTCTGTCTCTGTCTCTCTCATCAGAGGGTCCCAGGAGTCTCTCAGGGGCTGTGTAAAGAAAACAAAAGCACATCTGGTGATGTTCAGAAACCTCGGAGGTGTGTGCAGGTTTCAGGCGACAGAGGCCCCAGGACCAGGGTTCTGGAACCCTGGGTTCCCATCTCGCTCCATCTCTTATTTCCAAGTTGATGAAGTCCCCTCACCTCTGGGCCCCCCACTTCCCTCGCTGTGCAGTGGGGCGTAGGTTAAGCCAATACCCGTGCCTGTCACTCCGGGTACCACAGCTCAGCACCCCACGTGTTGTCTCTGAGAAAGACAGCTGACTGAGGTCAAAGACCTGGTTTTTTTTTTTTTGTATCTTTTTACTTTGGACTAATTTCAGGTGTCCAGAAAAGTCTCGGGTAGAACAGAGAGTCCTGTGTGCCTCTCACCCAGCTTCTCCCCCGCCAGCATCCTGTACCCTGGGGCGGCTTCACCACACCAGGAAGTTACCACTGATGCGTTACCGTTGACTCGAGCCTACACTGTGCTTGGTTCTCACTCGCTTTCCCCTAATGTCCTTTTCTGCCCCGGGACCCCTCCAGGATCTCACATGACATAGAGCTGTCACGTCTTAGCCCCTCTGAGTGGCGACAGTTTCTTTGACTTTTGTGCCTCGACAGCTGTGAGGAGGACAGTCAGGAGTTTTGCAAGATGCCCCTTGGTCTGGGTTTGTCTGACATTTCTCTTGTCATTAGATCACAGGTGCAGGGCCTTCTTGTCACCTCCCATCGGGGGTCCCTGACACCCACGCGGCATCACCCAGATGTTAACCTTGATCACCTGTCCCTGGTAGCGTTCGCCCCCGCCCGCCAGGTTCTCAGAGGCCTGGATTAGTCTCCTTCTGCCTGTAATTGGCCAAGGGAGCCCCG